CCCGGAGTCCTCCGGGAGTGGGCGGCATACAAGACAAATAAATAAATAAATAAACTATTCTCCAAGGCACCTGGGGGTAGGACAAGAAGCAATGGGTGAAAACTAAGGAGAGAAGCAACTTAGAACTGAGGAGAAATTTCCTGACAGTGAGAACAATTCATCAGTGGAACAGCTTGCCTCCAGAAATTGTGAATGCCCCAACACTAGAAGTTTTTAAGATGTTGGATAGCCATTTGTCTGAAACAGTATAGGTTTCCTGCCTACACAGGGGGTTGGACTAGAAGACCTCCAAGGTCTCTTCCAACTCTGCTATTGTATTATTATTGTAAGTAGGCCTCTCTTAATTATGGTAATTGGAATCAAAATTTCTATCATTAACTGATGCAGTAATTCCATTTTACCACACAGCTTAGTGATTGCTGTCATTAACCTAAATAAGGTAAGAGACTGCATCTTCCTCAACATCCCCCACCATCTATCGTCCCCCATTTCTGCCTTTTTGGTCGCCCTGCCCTCTGCCACCTACTGCCCCTGGCTCTTCTTGCCTAATGGACTTTCACTATTTTCTTCCTCTCGTTGCTGCCATGGCATGCCTAGTTTAGCCCTGCCACCCTTGTCCAAATAGCATGCTGCCTTCTTGCAAGACTTTGGAAGATTTTGAAGCCTTGTAAGAAGGTCAGATGTCTTGTACAAGGCTACACAGGACTCTGGGAAGATTTGGCACAGCCAGCAGGATCAGCCAGCAGCAGGAAGAAGAAAATAAAGGTCAGTGGGGCAGCAGAATGAGTGGGGTGGGGCCAAGGTAGCAAGGCCAGAGGAGTATAGGGAGACAGAGGCAAGTGTAAAACAGCCAAAAGAGCAGAGATGGGGGAGATACATAGATGGAGGAATTGAAGTACTCTTTGATCATGTGTAGTTGGGTTGCCAAACGCCCAAATTTTGATCACGTGATTCTAGAAGCATTGCAATAGCCAGAAATGGGTATAACTACCATTTATTCATTTGCATTGTAACTCTGAATAGCTGCTGAACAAATGATAATTAAGCAAGGGTACTTGTAATTGTTTTGAACACCTGTATGCCCAAGTCAATAGTTTATTAAAACTATGGTAGAAGAGTTCTGAATCAAATTTGTCCAAGTCTGAGTCAAATTATATTCTATGATTTGAAATATTATGTGATTTTTAGTGTTCTAACAGTTATTCCCATTATGAATTAGCTTTCTTTTATTCTATGGAGAAATATATTTTTCCTGGAATTTCATTTTTTAGTATATAAAGTGTGACACATTAAAATTAAAACATGCTATTGTTTCTAACCATGTATCAATGAAACTGATTTTATTTGATAGCTATTTAGAATATAAATAGATTATAACTGAATCTCAGTTAAACAATTTATTAAGCTAATGGAATAGGAGATAGTCCATTCTTTTGTACTAACAGAAAACTGCTTTTGGCATGAGACAGCAAAAGCATTTATTCATTGACATATTATTATTTATGCTTCTTAAAGAAGAAACATTTAAAGTTAAATCTTTGGATGGGAAAATTAAAGTATTGGTGATGCTTTAGATATGCTTCTGAAGGATACTTTAATTTCTGCTAATTATAACTTAGGAAGTTCAATGGCTTTGAAATAGAATTTTTATTGCATTTTATCATGCAACAATATTTAGAAAAGGAAGAGAATTTCAGTAATTTTTAGACAATTAAGCTATGTAGTTCTCTATTAGATGCACTTTAGCAAATGAAACAGGTATTAGATCAACTGTTTTTTAAGAAATACATTCTAAATTATGTAGTTACACATTTTTAAGGGCAGATGATGAAAAAGATGCTTTTCTACAACAACTGAGATGTCCTGTCTCAGGAACTATGATTGTAATTAATTTTATAAAATTTGGTAGTGTATTGATGATACACAAAACAAGCTTGGTTTATCTTTTTCAAAGACAGTCCCATGTTTTACCTTCAATGAGGGTACTATTCAGCTTACCTTAAGCTTGACAAGAATCCAACCATATAGTGCAATTATATATATTTTTTCTAGTCTATGTGAATGCTACAATTTTAATAGTTACATTAATTGTTGGTTGCAGTTTGTTTTTCTGACAAATCTGTATAAACTGATTTGTTAAGCCATGAAGCTTTTGATAATATTAGGTTCATAATTAAGTTATTTTAAACTCCAAATAGTGAAAATTCAGCAGCCATTATTTTATTGGATATTGATAAACTTTTGATGGAAGACAAAATATCAATTGTATCATTTACATACATGTGAATTAAAGAGGCACTGGCATTTAATGGACCCCTTTCTCCCAAAACAATCAGTTAAATCAAGATTAAATTGTACAACACCTTACATTTAACTTTACACATTAAGACTAAATCTATATTGCTGCTAAATGTGTAGCAATGGATGTCTGAAATATGTTTTATTTCAGTTACTCTTTTTAGGATAAAAAAAATTCAGTCATTTTTTAAAAACTGTTTTCTTCATGAGCAGTTTACCATGATCTTTTCTTCATTTAACTTTAAGGGCGCGTTGTTAATATGAAGCCATCTTTGGATCCAGCCATCTTAAACAACTATCGTCCAGTCTACAACCTCCACTTCGTGGGGAAGGTTGTCGAGAAAGTGGTGGCCTCTCAGCTCCGGCGGTCCTTGGATGAAACCGATTATCTAGACTCCTTTCAATCTGAATTCAGGCCTGGCTACAGCACGGAAACTGCTTTGGTCGCACTAACCGATGCTCTCTGGAGAGCCAGGGATGGGGGTCATGCCTCTGTCCTAGTGCTCCTTGACCTCTCAGCGGCCTTCGATACCATCGACCATGGTATCCTTCTGCGACAATTACGCGAGGTGGGGGTGGGAGGCACCGTCCTTCGGTGGTTCTCCTCTTACCTCTCGGACAGGTCGCAGTCGGTGTTGGTCGGGGGGGCAGAGGTCGACCCCTAGGCCCCTGAAATATGGGGTGCCGCAGGGTTCAGTCCTGTCCCCCCTTCTGTT